GATCATATCAATACATACAGAAAAAGCATTTAACAAAATACCTATTCATAATTTTTAAAGATCCAGTAAGCTAAGTATAGAGGGAAACTCCAAATTTAATAAAGAACATCTACAGAAAACTCACAGCAAAACTCTCATCATATTTAGTGCTGAGAAACTAGAACATTACCAGTGATCAGGCGCAAGGGAAAGATAACTTCTCATTATTGTTTTTCCAACATCAACTACAAGTCAAAGCTAATGCAGTAAGATAAGGAAATTAAAAGTGCAGTGACTGAGAAGACCTATGTCTTTCTTCACAGATGGTATGATCAGCTATAAACAATCAGAAACTGAAAAATTGTACATTGCCTTTGTCTCCCAGGTGACTGGTTCCTCCAAGGGGCGGGGCCTGCCATGGAGAATGGACTACTGAGGGGCTGCTGGGAGCCATCTTGGGACAGAAGCCATGAGCCACCAGTAACACACGGCGACCTGCTTGGGGAACAGGCAGCAGCTGTGCGTACTCAAGGATAGAATGGCCTGGCACTAATGGACCTGGGGTGAGACTGCTGGCCCCTGAGGCATGAGCGAAGGCTAGCCGGTGACTATGAGCATGGAGTGGGAGCAATCTAATATGGCGGGCTCTGAGCGGTGCTGTGCAGCGCAGAGCTGAGCAGCATGGAGCTAGGCACACAGGGTGCTCATTTCTTTGTAAGTCACTCCCCTCTCCCCCGCACCAAGATAATAATAAATGCACATAAAGATATGTTATATGGTTTTCCTGATAGTGCAAAAGACCCAGAGAGAACTCTGGTGACAAAAGTGGCATAGTCTAGCCCAGATAAATGAACCACAGCCTTGGGGATGTGGGGCAGAGAAAGCAGTGTTGTTCCCACTGCCTCTGTGGCAGGTCAGCTGGGCTCTGATTCCCAAATCCAGGAGCAGCTGCCAAGAACCCAGAGGGGGAAGGCAGTCAAACCCCATACACTTAATAGGGTTAGCAATAGTCATATGGGTTATACAATGGATTATAAAATCTGTAACTAAAAAGAGGCCAGCCATGCAGAAGTGTGGGCCACAGCTATGCTGTAAATGTGGGGATATGTTGCAGGTATGTGAAGATTTGTTAAAGGTTATTCAGAGGCTAGAAAAACTTTTACCCCCAAACGAAGCACCCAGAGAGGGAGCATGGCCACTTTGCATAACAAAAGATGTGGCCCAGGCAGGGGAAGCTGAAAAGGCTAGGGAAGTCCCGGCAGACCCAGTTGCAGAGCTTGACACTTTAACTTGTGTAAGGTCCAAGGACTCAGAGGAAGAGACAGCTAATAGTAAAAGGGAAAATGACCTAAAAATAAAAGTAGCTAAAGCTGCTCCTCAGATTCAACCATTGATAAAAAAAGGAAAAAAAAAAAAAAAAAGCTAACTGTACTATAGCTAGGAAACAGTCCATGCTAGAACTGTTAAAACTAGGAAAAACTTACAAGCAAGCAGAGAGCCCCTAGTCACGTGGCTTGTGAGAGTATGGGACATGGGAGCAAATGACCTCAGTCTAAGTCCTTCAGAAGCTTCACAGCTGGGTTATATAACCACCCATCCATCCTTGCAATATAGGCTGTTCAACTTAGGCCAATGCAGGGGGAGCAGTCCTTAATGGAATGGCTGGTTGAAGGCATTAAAGATACATGGTCATCACCAATGGAGACTAACATGACTAGCAGGGGCTAGAGGACTATAAAGGAGGGGCAGGCACTACTGAAAGAACTAGGTATGAGAAAAGCAATATATAATGTCTAGTTCACTGGGCCAGATAAGACTGTGTTCACCAGAGATATGAAAGAAAGCTTAATTCAACTGGGACCTTGAAAATGGTATGGGGCTTTAATGGTTTTACTAAGTCCTTTGACAGGACAGGATCTTTGTAAAATGAGAGAGGCTTTGACAAATCTAAATGATTCTGACCAGCATGTAAAACATGTCTGTAAAATAACAGAACACCCTATAAGAGATAAAAAAAAAAAAAAAAAAGACCAGACAGAAGAAATGATCCACTTGGGTTACTTGAAGTCAAATGTGGCCCAAATCCCCAGAGAAGAAAATTGATAGAAAACCAAATTCGGTACTAAGGCATTTCTGGAAGGTTTTAAAACCAGAAGAACAGTTTACAAAAGACATTCAAAGGATAACAACTGTACAACGGGTGGTTAAGAATTCCCAAGGATTAAATAAGATGCATTTCTCTTCTGATAAAGGCTATACTAGGGATGGAAGCAGGTTTTCCCACCAAGCTTTCCCCCAGCAAACTGGTGTGGTCAATGGGAAGATGACAGATATGGCTACAGTCAGGAGGCAGACCCAGGGCCTGCCTGACTCAGGGAACCAACAAGTGCAGCGGGGACAGGAGAAGCCCCCTGCCTCCTTAGCCCAGTGCAGGGTCAGGCAACTGGAGCCAACACCTGTAAGTGTACCAAAAATAATAAAAAGAGACCCCATGTAAAACCCCACAAGAGCAAAATGACTCCAAAGGGCTAACTAAAAATGGTTAAGAGCTAACAAAATTAATGCCTCGTACCCATGCTATGGTACCTAACAAGGATCTATGGAGAAAACAGTTAATACACCATGTCTATGAGTGATTTAATATATGATGTTAACCTTTGAATGTTTTACAGATGTGAAACCCACTTGAAAGATACCTGAAGAAACAAAGGCCTGCTATAGCTGTAAGATTCTTGGGAGTTTTATGGTTGGGTAAGATAAAAACACAGGCTCCCAAAACTATACAACTGTTAAGAAAAACTTCAGTACCAGGGGTGTGTTGTGCCCCTATGAGCTGTTGGTCAGAGAACGATCCTAGAATTCCTCAGATTAATCCAGGCTATTGCCGCTAATGTCAGTTGTATACTAAAAAGGTCAGTAAGGCCATGTTGCCAAAGACCCTGCATGATGTGAGCCCAGGAGAAGAGATGGAGCTGAGAATAAGCCAAAAACTTCATGCCAATATATGGATGGCTTTCAAAGGGCCAGAAGGCACTATGCAGATAGTTGGGAAAGAAAGGGTCCCCTGTGATTCTACTCCATAATGGACCCCGCATGCTGCACACTATGGACACACTAAGTGTTGCCTGCTAGTTCAATAATGGCTCAATATACGTACAACTGACAAATTTCTAATTAGATAAGGCCCTCTCCTAGGGGTGGAACACACATCTGGTGCTGTAGACCAAGCCAATGCCTTGTGTCAAGAATGACTATTGCCCCTAGTAGGGAAGCCATCACAAGTATACTGTTCAATAAATATAGTACACCTACTGGGATATTTTCTAGGCATTTGTATTTACATTCATGTTTTTTTAAATGTCTCTACTTCCTTCCATTTGTCTTTATAGTAGAAGAAACACCACTGAGATAGATCAGTGGCCATGGCCTAAAGACAACTAATGGGGAGGCCCAAGAAGTCACTATCTTGCCATGATACAAGAGAGATCGCCCTACATCTGTCACCCCCTCCAAGGCTCAGGTACCTTAATGGAAGACTGATGAGAAGACTGTAAGAGCAGAGGAAAGGGGTGGAGTGTCTCCCAAGTGACTGGCTCCTCCAAGGGATGGGGCCTGCTGTGGAGAATGGACTACTGAGGGGCTGCTGGGAGCCATCTTGGGACAGAAGCCGTGAGCCGCCAGTAACACACGACGGGCGTGGGGAACATGCAGCAGCTGGGTGTACTCAAGAACAGAATGGCCTGGCACTTATGGACCTGGGGTGAGACTGCTGGCCCCTGAGGCGTGGGTGAAAGCTAGCAGTGACTATGGGCATGGCACAGGAGCAACCTGATATGGCAGGCTCTGAGCCGTGGCACGGAAACTGAGCGGCGCAGAACTGGGCACGGGGTGCTAATTTCTTTGTAAGTTACTCCCCTCTCTGCCCCTCACGATAATAATAAATGCACATAAAGATATGTTATATGGTTTGCCTGATAGTGCAAGAGACCCAGAGAGAACTCTGGTGACAGCATTATAAGATAAACATGAGACTCTGAGGACAAGGGGTGGAAGGTTATGATTTAAAGTGATGTGTTTAGGTGTCAAGATGAAAAAGGGCAGAGTTGTGAAGGTTAATCTCAACTGTCAATTTGCTGAGAACTAGAATCACCTGAGCACACCTCTGGGCATGCTGGAGGGTGGTTATATTGATTAGGTTAGTTGAATTGGGAAGACTTGCCCACTGTGGTGGCGCCATTCCTTGGATGGGATCCTGGATTGTGTAAGTAGAGAAAGGAAGCTGAGCAACAGCAAGCAGTCATTGCTCTTTGCTCCTAATTATGGGTTGATATGACTAACTGTTTCAACCTTCTTGGACCTTGGCTTCCCTATCATGATGGAAGATGCCCTGGACTATAATTACGAGCCAAAAATAAGACCTTTTCCCCTAAAGTTGCTTTTGTCAGGGTATTTTAATCCAACGACAGAACAAGAAACTAAGAAAGAGTATAAACTTCATAAAAGTAGAACCATGTTTTTTTTTTCTTCATAGTATAGTTGTATCCTCAGCACAACATATTACCTAGCACATAGAAGTCACTTAATAAATAATGATTGAGCTGGACATGGTGATGCCTGCCTTTAATCCCAGCACTCAAAAGGCAGAGACAGGCAAATCTCTGTGATTATCAAGGCCAGCCTGGTTTATACAGCACGTTCCAGGCCAGCTGGGGCTATAGGAAGACCCTGTCTCAAAAATTAAGTAATTAATTTAAAAAATGAACAAACAATACTAATGAAGTTGACATACAGTGAATTATTACTGGATATTCATGTCTCCAAAAGAATGCATGTCTCTAATGACAAGTCAATATTTTAATAGACTGAAATAAATTCATTTGTTATATTTGTTTAAACTATACCCAATATTAATTTATATTTATCTAGCATCTACCAAAAATCTACTCAAATGTTTTCTAGTAATATTCCATAATATTCTGTAAAACCAATTATTTTAGATAATTTTTATATTTCTATCATACCTTCTTTAAACTGTGTATTTCAGATTCTTGCTTATTATTTAAAGTGGAAAGTCTTTTGTTCAACTGTATTGCTTCCTGTACTGTAACATAAAAGATATTGGGAAAAGATTATATTAGTTACACATTTCAAAGAAACTATGACTAATATACACAAGAAAACAGTCCCAATGCAATCTGTAATTCTGACTTAATATTCATTAAACTGGCTGGGCATAGTGATGCACATCTTTAATCCTAGCACTCAGGAAGCAGAGGCAGGTATATCTCTGTGAGATCGAGACTAGCCTGGTCTACATAGTGAGTTCCAGGTTGTTTAATCTGGATTACTTTGGTCCAGGGAAAAAAGTTTCCCTGGAGAAGGAGACCTTCTCAAAAAGACAAAAAAAAAAAATGTATTCATTAAACTGCCATTTAGTATTTCTAGTATGAGGTAAGTTCAATTTATTCATGATAAAGAAGTTTTTTTAAAATATTCCCTACTGACCACATAAGTTTAAATAAAATAGCACTTACCATTTTGTTCTAATTTTGCATGATTCTCTCTCACCAATCCAAACTGACTTGTTATTGTGACATAGTATTTCTCAATTTCATTCAATTGATTATGATAATCTTCTTTAGCTAGTAGATGTAACTGGGCCTTCTTTTCCTATTTTAAAGAGCAATTTTAAAGTTATACATAAACATACACATGCATATACAGCAAATATGTACTAGTATGTAACTGCTGCTAACAGAGTACTAAAAATAAACAACAAGGAAAAATACTCTTTTAAATACAGCATGGGGTTTATGGTCATACCACCCTGAACACACCTGACCATCTCTGAATGCAACACAGGGAGAAATTTTAGGACTATTTCTACATGTATGTAAAACAAAAGCAAACTTTTTTCCCTGTACCAAAGTAATTCAGATTATGCTTCTTTTGTTTTCAAAATCAGAAGCTTTTTAGTAAAAACTTAAGTCAAAGTCTAGCACTAGATAAAATGTGGAGGAGGATTAAAATATTAGTCATGGTAATTTAGGAAATACTTTATTCGTTTTGTAAAGTATATTAATAATTAGAATATAACTAACTCATTTTTTTGATTGTCCTTTCAATTTGGAAGCCTACTTTGTATATACATTAGCAATATTCAAATAATTTTTTCTGAAATTAATTATAAGAAATCTGGTAACTTCTTACAGAATTAGAAAATGGAACCTGGCAGGCAAGATGGCTTGGCAGGTAAAAAGCACTTGCTACAAAAGCCTGATGTTCTGAGTTCAATCCCTGGAACCCACAGTGGAAGGAAAGAACCAACCCCTGATAGTTGTTCTCTGACCTCCACAAGTGTGCCATGGTACACATGTACATACACACACATACGCATGCACACACACATATACTGAAAATAAATAATTTTTAAAAAAATGGAATGACAGGGGATGGCAAAATGGTTCAGGAGGCATAAAGTTACCTGCCACCAAACCTGATATCTGTTAAGTTCAAGTCCTGGGACCCCCACATTGTGGAAGGAGAGAACCAACTCTGGACGCTTGTCCTCTGACTTCCACATGTGCACCATGGCACACACTCCCCTACCACATACACATGGTTAAAAAAAAAAGTAATAAAAACACAATGGCAAGGACCAAGGACAATACTTCTCAGTAACAGGAAGGCAATGTAATACAGTATAAAATCTATTTAACTGGAGCTATAACAGGTAAAAAATGGATCCTACTTAGAAGGGATTCCAATACGTTCATCAAAAAGAGCTACTTTAAGCATTAAATTTTAAAAAGAAACATGTTCATACAATCAATAATTTGTTTTTTTGAGACAGAGACTCACTACATAACCCTGGCAGCCTGAAACTCTATGTAGACCAGGCTGGCCTCAAACTAACATAGATCTGCCTACTGTGCTTCCCAAGTGCTGGAATTAAAGGCAAGCATTGCCATGGCTGGCCAATAGCACTTAAAAAATATTTATTTAATAACCACATGATTAGAATAAGCATTTCATTACAGCATTAACATATTCAGTAACAATTTCCAGAGCAAAGCTGCATCTATTTCAAAATTGGCTGTAATTTTTAGGTTCACAGTTGAATTAATACAGTTATACAATATTGAACTCAGTATAAATCCTATAAGACATAAAATTGAATGAGGTTTTAACCTTTAAAAAAGATCTCCATTTTTCATTTTAAAATAGACTGTTTCATACAGAAAAATTCATTTTTAATGCTACTAATACTTAGATGTTTGCACTTGCATCTCTAACCACTATGTATCTGATTATTACTAGTCACAGTCAGTTACTTTCTGAGATCCTTGGCACCTGAGCATGGATATAGTCATCAGGTAGATTTCAATAGTAATGGTTTTTACCTCTACTAATTAACATGAAGCAAATTTTTATGCTTCTTCCTCAAATATAACTCATTTTTCATACAGAACATCCCAAACAATCTCATTCATCTATATACCCACATCCAAAATGGCACCCTCCCATACGTTCCTCCACCCCCACTGGAGCCCATATACTCTGTAATTCCTGTTACTGTCCACTGTGTTGTTGGCACCCCCAGCCGTTCCCGAGTGCTGTCCATCCACTGAATCTAGTCAGCCTATCTAGAGTTCCTTGTTTTAGGAACAGCAGCTCTTCCTCATCTAGTAGCTATCAGTTGCCAATATTCCTTTAGATAAGATTGGGCTCTACTGTTCATTTTCCCAATTCTATGCTGGGTTACTGTCTGGGAGTCTCTTGGGCCACCCTAGCCAACAACTCAAAGGAAGGTATCTCCTGTCTGGCATTGTTGCTTGTTATATAGCCTTTAGCTATACACATGGACTCAAAAAAATTATATTGATCCCTTTAATTTTTGGTTATACTTTCCTTTTGGGTGTTTAAGACCACACAGTTGACCCAGATAAACCAATTTATTTTAATCTTAAGGTTGTTTGAGGACCCCTGTTCCTCAGGGGTCACATGGGCTTGGGAGGAGTCCCTGGCTCCTTTTTTTATCAGTTCCACCTACATGAAGATAAGTCAAAGATCCTGTTTAACCATGGCTGGATTCACTTGGAAGCATGGAGGAAATGCTTCCTCTGTGTTGACCCTCCTCCTTGTAGACTGGACACTGGTTCAAGTCCATTTGGTGGGGTCTCCATGGCCTCCTTGTTCAAGAGGACAGGTGACTCACCACAGTTATAGGACATTTTGAGAGATGCTCATAGTCCCCTGGAACTTAGTCGACCTAGGAGGGAAAGGAGCAAAAACTGTCCTTTATGTCCCTCTGATCAAATTAGTATAGGCTTCAAAGTATGGCTGTTAAACATCCAAGCTTAGTTCCACCAGTCTGGTACTTTTACCATGTGCCATGTAGATAAAGCTTAAGCAAAGACCAAATGTTCTCGGATAAACTTTGCCTAGACATATATTCTTTGAGCTAGTTGTATGTATAATTTGTCAGTAGGTTGTTTGATTAATATGGTTCCCTCTGGGTTTTTTTTAAATAGGTAGGCATTATTTCTCTCTCACATTGTCTAACCCTTCCACCATGGCTCCCCCATTTAAAGCACCCCCATTTTTCCCATTTCTCCCTTAATTATACTCTTCTCCTATGGTCCCACCTGTCTTGAGCTCCTTCTTTCCCTTTAACCCCAAGGTTTCTTGTATAGCCTTCCCTTCCCCCCTCCTTAAAATAAACCCATTTTTATCCATATCTCCCTTATTAATGCCTGTTTCCTACTGTTCTTCTCTTTCAGATTCTTTCTTTTTCTTTACCTCCCTGGTTCCTTTTCATTGTCCTGGTTCCTGTAGTTATGTTTGGATACATACTCACTTATAAGGATTTGGTGCTGGAATCCACATAGGAGGAAGAACATACTTCTTTTTTTTTGTTTTTTGGTTTTTTTTTTTTTTCTGAGTCTGTGTTACTTCACTTAATATAACAGTTTCTAGTTCCATCCATTTACCTGAAAATTTCGTGATTTCATCTTTCTTTACTGCTGAATCAAACTCCATCGTATAAATGAACCACATTTTCATTATCCATTCATCAGTTGAGGGACAATAAGGTTGCTTCCATCTCTTAGCTATTGTGAAAAGAGCAGCAACAATCATGGATGTACAAGTGTCTCTGCAATAGGATGAGTTTTTGGGGTATACGCCAAGGAGTGGTATAACTGGGTCAAATAGTAGGTTCATTTTTAGTTTTTGAAGAGTTCTTCACACTGCTTTTCATAGGGGTTGAACAAGTTTTCAATCCCACCAGGAGTGGATGAGTGTTCCCCTTTCCCCACATCCTCTCCAACATTTGGTATCATTTGTTCTTTTGAACTTAGTCAGTCTGACTGGGGTAAGATGAAATCTTAAAGTGGTTTTAATTTGCATTTCCCTAATTACTAATGATGTTGAACACCTTTTAAGACGCTTCTTAGCCCTTTGTCGGATGTGTTGCTAGTGAGGATTTTCTCCCATTCTGTGGGTTTTCTCTTTACTTCCTTGGTTTCTTTCCTTGATATACAGAAGCTTTTTAGTTTAATGAGGTCCCCTTTGTTGATTCTTGACCTTGTTTCCCGAGGAATTGATGTCCGGTTTAGAAAATCCTTTCCTATACTTATATCTTGTAGGTTATTGCCAATGTTTTCTTCTAACAGTTTCAGAGTTTCAGGCTCCACATTGAGGTCTCTGATCCATTTGGAATTGACTTTTGCACAAGGTGAAAGATAGGGGTTTAGTTTCATTCTTCTACAGGTGGAGATCCAGTTTTGCCAGCACCATTTGCTGAACATGCTGTCTTTTCCTCCAGTGAATGTTCTTGGCCCCTTTGTCAAATATCAGGTGGCTGAAACTTCATGTACTCATATTTGGGTTTTCAATTTTGTACTATTGATCTACGGGTCTATTTTTGTGCCAGTACCATGTTTTTATGACTATAGCTCTGTAATACAGTTTAAAATCTGGTATAGTAATCCCCCCAGCATTGCTCTTAGTGCTCAGGGTTGCTTTGGCTATCCGGGGTCTTTTGTGTTTCCATATGAATCTTCAGATGGTTTTTTTCCAATTCTGTGAAGAATGTCATGGGGATTTTTTGTAAAAAAAAAAAAAAAAAAAAAAAAAGGTCTTTTATCTTGACTTTGGCAGAATCATTAATTGCCTTCACAATTTTTTTTATTGCTTTAGTTTCTATCATGAGCAATACTAAGGACAAAAGAGAGTACAGGCCAATCAACTCACACTCAGTAATTATTTTTTGAATAAACTGTTGTCCTATACTGTTCAAAAAGTGGGAATTTGTTAGGTTTCACCTGACCAGCATCCACTTATTAATACCATAATTTACTTTACTGAAATAATTTTTCCTCATTACGATTTCATAGGACTAACATTCAGACGTCCTGCTCTTCCCTAGTCAAGAGAAGAGCACACTAATTATTTCTTCCTGGAATTTTAAGATTAAGCAAAAAGATAAAAGTAAACAAGTTCAGTGGCATCCTACCCAAACTGAGATGAGACCTCTGTTGTGGATTCCTGTGTTTGCTTCATAACTCTGGAACCACTTTGGTCCCTGTTCATTTCTTAACCTATTTTCCTCTCCAGGATTTAACTGTGAATGTATCCACTAAATTTTCATTTGTGCAAAAATCACT